AATACATTGGTAAATGCATTAAGTGCACATCAAATCAACATAAAAAGGAATTCATTCAATCAGCTGATTTTGCTGCATGCAAATTCGTGAGAATCAAGCTAATCGAGCATAAAGGTACAACAAATTAAATAAAGTCCTGAAGTTGTTCAGTGGATATGGCGGAAAAGTAAGCAAACAAAGTAATTAGCAGACAGCTATGATATAATTATGTTTCTGAATTGCTGAAGAAAGCCGTCGGTTTCGGTTCCAACTAGTTTCTGCGCTTGAAATGAGTTGAGCAACGAATGAAGAAATCAAAAAGCTGACTGAATTCAAAGCTGATAACAATATATCAAAAGAAAAATCAGTCAAAAGTCATCAATATATATAATAGATCAAAGCATGAAACGAATATGGCAATTAATGCTAATGCTATTCATCATCATTCAGTCTGAAAATCTGCACACGACGATTACTGCATGAAATATCTTAAAATGCATCATAAATGAACTAAACTGGTCTAAGAATCTGTTGAATATAATGCACATGTCCCGAATATTAGTAATGTATACGTATGTAACATTCAAAAAATATGTGAGGGTGACATTTTTGATGTGTATCGAAATGAAAATTTACGATAATCTAAAAACGTGCTGACTGAAATTCCTCAATTCTTCGCGAAGATTGTAGGACGCATCAAACTAATACAACAAATTCTTCCCAAACGGAAGCTTTTAGCACCTTCTTCAATTGACCGATAAGACGCATTAATAAGTCGCATACACATCTCATCCTCCAATCACCCCAACAAATTGCCAAGCTATGCAAAAACTGAACTGGATTTTTAAAGATTTAATTTGAAGAAAAATCAAACGAATCAAAGAAACCTAAAAATCACTCACAGTTGATTTATACAATATTTTAGCATTGCTTTAAGACCAGAGTGCGCGATTATTTTTTCATCTTCTTATGATGCCCTAAAATGAACCAAAACAGTGAGACTAAGCACTGACGTTTACAATAGGGCAAAATCCCTCAGAAATATCTCTTTCAAAATAGTGAAGTATCAAAATCCCTCCAAGATAGTGACGTGTCAAAGTGGTTAGTAAATCGATCACTCGAAAAGTCACTGAATTGACAGCTAGTCAATCGCTCTACTCTTTGAAGATACCCTCCTAAACTTCAGTTGGAGTTGTTTGACGTGGTGCTCCAGAAGGTGGTGCATAAGCGTTTTCATTGAACGGCACACGTTGATTAGCTCGAGCTCGTGCCATCGCTCCTATTGGTAAAGTATTCTGACCATCAATGTAATCCTCTAGCATCGGTGCTGATTCGTACGGTTGTGTCGGAGTGCAAAGCTGTCTTGGCAAAGGATGAAGTGCTGCTTTATTGTTCTTGCGCGGTGAATAGCTCTCATTCTGAAACATTATATTCACACGTCAGTATTGTAATGACAGTAAACAATACCGTCTATTGTTGTCACTAACATGTGAATGAATGTCTTTTATAAATGTCTTTATTGTGTTAGCTCTAAAAAACTGGTTCAGTCATACAATCCAACAAAGTTTATCTACATTCTATGTGCAATGACTGTTTTCACAGCGTCAACTGTTTAGATTGCAACAACCAATTTCCTAAATTTCCATCCTCAATCAAAGTTACAACGAATAGTATCAATATTACTCATTCATGCAGAACGAGTGCACTGTACACGAACAACACCACACATGCGAGTTACAGTCATATGCTTACAGACAGTTTGCTTCCTCTTTTTTTTCACGTAAATCAATATGCAAATGAATTTTTCAGAACTGTTCTAATGCAAACGATAAATGTGCGATGTAATGAGTGAAGATTTTGAAGTGTTGAAAAGAAGCTACAGCCCGTATAGTTTATCAGAACAAGTGGGTACGTATATTGGGTATATGAAGTTTGTTGTGAATGAATTAACAAATGCTGAACGCAAACCTGTCGAGCATAAATACGAATAAGATCGTGAACCAGTTCACGGGCGATTCGTCCACTGACGTGTTCGTTAACAAATTTCAGCAATAAAACGCCATCCACATGCAGGAAATCGTTGACAAAGCGATTCAGATCCTTACTCGACATTCCGGCCAACTGAAAACGAAAAGTCACTTAAGAACATTTCAGACAACTAAGGTCAATTAATTCATTCAATAATATATGGACAATCGCTCGCTCCTATTGTGCATCTAGATTAAATACAAAAAGATATAGAAAATCCGAAATTTTCAAATCGATTCGAAAAACACNACGAGAAATCCATTAAAATGAGATGGATATAATAAAGGAAAATATCATTTTCGAAAAAACCAACCTTCATTTCTTGCTTATTAACATTCCACAAAACAAGTTGAGCGCGTAATCGTGGAATACCCATAACGAAGAGGTAATAGAAGAAATTCAGCAGCGTGCAAATGCCAACGAAAATAAACCAAAACCACAAAAAGAGGTACAGCTTTTCGTTGATCATATTCATCATTATAACACACTGTACCGTATGACGTTGCAAATTGCCCAGTCGGCGAACCTCAAAAGAAAAGTTTTAATGGGAACGATATTGGTTCGTTCGGTTGAGTGTGACATTTCACACAAATATCGTCTAAACATACTTTCACAAAACGGTGGCTGCAACTTAAATGCCAAATTCGAAATATATAAATACCAACAAAAAACTGAATGAACTAACTTGAAAATCGCACATAATAACACGTGGAAATATCGGTGATTCAGACCACTCTTTGCCAATCGCAACATCCAACATAGTCTGTAACGGAGTGCAACAGTATTCTAGATGACAGTTTAGAGAACGATTTCACTGTCTGCTGATGCATTTGAAATAATGAAAAGGTTTATTCACGAATAAGTGCTATTTTGAATTTATCGATCATTCAATACTGAAAATCTTCTTCAGCTAAAATATTACAACTCATGAGAATGTCACAACTCATGAGCAGTTAATCGCCTCGTACAAAATTGATTATTTCGCACAGACTATGGAAGCGAGTAATAACGTATTCGAGAGAATACTTTGAGTNCATAAATGGTGCACGCTGATCATTGAAATTTGAGTTCTGGGCGATTCTTTGAATAAGATAAGACTCACCTCATATCCCCAGTACAAATAATGACCACCCAAAAAGTGATTCATCATATACAGTTGACCCAAAATATTAACAACATAGAGAAGCTTCGTTATTAAATATAAGATGGCCAAATTTCTACCCGAACGATAAAACTCCTGAAAATTTTGCATTTTGAACTAATTGTAAGTAGGATTCAGAACATGGAATGAGCCATAAGCCGCTTTGTACAATCAAAAAGAAGAATCAGAAAAGTACGCATTGATAGTACACAGAAAAGTACGTATTTGTGCTGCTGTTGAAGTACTTTGCAAGGCAGCAAAAAAACTATAGCTACTATTTTTGAAGTTATGAAAACGATAATAAACACGAGATCCTTGCTGCATCTCTCAAAAATCATTTTTGTACGGATTTCACACACTACACTATCACATCGCTATTTTAAGTTAGGCTTATTTACAGAATGAAACACCAAAATTTGCCGGAGTTTTGAGAGAACCATAAATGAAGTGATCGATCTGACCCGTTTTTCGAATGCACCGCGCGGTGTAAACGTCGACACGGTATCGCAAATATATTCAGCTAAATTGTGAACTTCGGATTCACGCTGAACACCGCAAAGACGAACACATTTTTGTGCCTCTTTTACGATTCCTCTTGGTTGTACCGCTGAAAGATTATTATTTTGCTGAATAGTGACGTTTCAAAATATACACAGCTCAACTTCTCACTGACCAATCTTGATTGCTGAGATGCTTGTTCAATGAATTTTATACACAAAAAACAACTAACCAGTTTGTTTGTAGAGTATATTCCATATGAAATTTGGTGCAAAAAACGCCATCGCTTGAAGGGCCAAAACAATAGGAACCCACTGAAAACTATGCA